AGTTTTCAAAAAATTGGAAAAGTGCTCCCGTATAGTCCCAGTCTAAACGCATTTGCAAATAATTCTGTGTGACATTTCACTTATACTGTGCTTAGCTTGGCGGCATTTTCACATTTTACAATAGTTTTCAAAAATTGGAAAAGTGCTCCCGTATAGTCACAGTCTAAACGCATTTGCAAACTAGCTGTAAGTGGAATTCTGTCTTAAGGCAATTAAGGCATCGTGCCTTAAGGCAAATTGCTGGAACTTCCCGTACCAAAAATTATTATTTTTTTAAAAACGATTAACATTTTGAAAAAAAAAATTACTTTGAAAAAATAAGATTTTTGAGAAACTATAAATTGGTCAAAAAATTACTTTTTTTTGAAAAAAAAATTTTTTTTTTAAAAAAATTTTTTTTAAATTTTTTTTTTGTTTTTTTTTTTTGAAAAAAAAATTTTTCTTATTTTAACATATTGTGGAAGATCTGAACTTTTTTCAAAGCAATCGTACTGTTTTAAACTGCCTAGGGACAAATATAAAGCGCGTAAGTGCCGCGTCGCTGTCTAACGCATAAGCATTGGTACGGAACCCATAGGAATGTTAACAAAATGTATACTTATTGTTAAAATCTCTATAAAATATCTGATCAATTTGATGTGCATATGTCTAATGATCATTTTGACCGCAAAATGGCTCATTTTTTTACTTTTTCCTCCATATCTCCGAAACGCTAGACCTACCTTCATGAAAATTTTATCGATTCTTCATCTTGTCAATACAAGTGAAACCGTTTTTGAATTATTCAAATCGGACGCTCCGTTCTCTTAAAACTGAGTTACCGTTTTCGGACTTTTTGCCCGTATCTTCGGAACGGCTAGACCTGCCTTCGCCAAAAACTAATCAGCACGTCTCCTTATCAATACGAATCGAATGTTTTTTTGAATTATTCAAATCGGTGATCCGTGTCCCGAAATCGTCGACGAAAATTGTATCCGCACATACATACACAACATACATACATACACACACACATACACACACACATACACACACACATACACACACACACACACACACACACACACACACACATACATCCATTTTTTCTAAGGTATGCCAAAATGTTCAGAAACCTTTGAAAACGTAAAGATATATAAAAATTTTCATTTCGATTTTTTTGCGATTACTATAACTTACCCTACGGGAAGTTAATAATTCTGTGTGACATTTCACTTATACTGTGCTTAGCTTGGCGGAATTTTCACGTTTTTCAATAGTTTTCACAAAATGGAAAAGTGGTCCAGTAAATAAACAGTCTAAACGCACTTTGGTAACATGTGTACCAGATTGGCGCTTAGACTGTGCTTAGCCTGGTAATTTTTTGAATTTTTAAACCAAAATTACAAAAATATTTTTTGAAAATAAAAATTTTAAATACAATTTTTTTCCAAAAGCAATTATTTTATCGAAAAAGCAGAAGTTCTTTGAATCATTTAAATCGAATGCTTAGTTCTCTCAAAAATTTCCATTTTCTAACATTTAGCTCTGTATTCCGAAACCGCTAGGACTACCTTGTCAAACGAATAACCACTTTTCCCCGTCATTTCGAACTGAATGTTTTTTGGATTTTGGATCATACAATCAGATGATCCGTTCTCTCAAAAACTCGATTTCTATTTTCTGGCACTTTGCTCCATATCTCCGTAACGGCTGTACTTGCCTTGCCAAAAACTAATCAGCACATCTCCCTATTAATAGGAATCGAAGGTTTGTTAACCATTCAAATCGATTAATTCGTGCACCCGAAAACGTGGACGAAAAAATGCGGACATACAAAACACACACACAACATCCATTTTTTCTGAGGTTTGCCAGTAAAATGTTCAGAAACCTTCAAAACGTCGAGAAATGCAAAAATTTTCATTTTCGATTTTCGGCCCATTACTATAACTTACCCTACGGGAAGTTAATAATGGATACATTGGGAAAAAGAATTCAGTAATGAACTTTGTGAATTTTTAATTCTAGCAAAAGACGGGTCCAGTGCATTCACAACAGCCATCAGCTGCAGCATCAGAAACTAGTTATAATTTAGCTGAATCAGCAGCAAATATTGAACATCAGAATACTAAACAGTTGGGTATTGCTTACTCGCTTCAACGGATGTTTCTAGTTTTAAATATGCAAGTCAAGGATTGAATTATAATTTTGAAAATATTTAGGAACAAAATTGTTGTAAGTATTAATTATTTATAGGCCCATATATTTTATATATAGTTTGTAAAAATTATTGTTAATAAATTTCATACGTTTAGATTTTTTATTTGACTCATCTTCAGTACTAAACTTTTTCCTTTAATTTATAGATTTTTGTAAAAAAATTAAATAATTTCATAGTTATTTTTTTTCAAAAATATATATGAGTGCGGTACAAAATATGGAGTTATTCAAAGAAATGATGTGTAACAAAAAAATCTTTAATCGAATTAAAATTAAAGTTAAATACACTGTTTTTGCATGTTTTTAAATTACATAA